AAATTATCTTCCATACGCTACACGTGTTCGTAACCTGATTAAATCTTAATATGTCACTGCCTAAGTCAGTTTTTATTTAGGTCTCACATAAATTTAAACTTTTGCAATGATATTAAAGTATGCAGTATGTAGAATTTAACGTATGCCAATAGATATAAAAATCTATAAATAATATGAATGAAGCTCAATTACAATCTTGCATTTTTTTTATCGATAATGCTTACGCTATATAATGTTTATCAAGTCTTGTGGCTCAGCTAACACACTGAGGGTCGGGGATCGATCCCGGCACGGGATCTATTCCCATTATGGTCCTTGCTTTATATAGTTAAAAATTTTATTTTTACATATGCTTATATAGATGGTATTTTGTTTTCTACCCTTAGTTACTGTAATAACAATAAATCAATACAAAATTTAATGTATCTGAAAAAATCTGCAGCTTTATTCATTAAATATGCTGCACATATTATGATGGACTTAACGTCAAATCTGTCTCAAACTACTTTATTTTGTTGTGTAATAAACAGTGTACTTGACATGTAATAAAATATTGTTAAGCACAAAGAAAGCATTAGTATGCACGTGCATTATTATTGTCATTGTATTCTTTAGATCCATTTTTTTTTAATTGAGTTTTACCGAGACTAGCCTTAGCATGATCGGGTAACCCATTCTATTTTTTTTCTGTGCAACAAGGTGTTTAAGGACCTGGCAACCTACCGTGGGTATTAAAACATTGAGTTAACTTCCCATTCCATCATAATGGCTTTAGTTCCTAACTTTTACGAAATTCTGGACAAGTTGCCACATTTAGCGTTTCCACTTTCTGTAATTCACATTTGCAACACTAGGAATCTCTAGAGACGAAACGTTTCGCCTGCGCTGCAGCCTTTATCAGTCGACCCCTCACGGAAGGTTCCTTGATGTTGGTGAGGGGCTCTTGATTTAGGGAATTGGATCTGTGCTCCAGTTCCCCGAATTAAGCCTGAATGCCTTCCACATCCCCAGGCGCTGTATAATCCTACGGGTTTAGCGCTTCCCCCTTGATTATAATAATAATAATTTATCAGTCGAATACAGAGATGAATCCGACTCGTGGAGACAACATTGGTGAAAACGAAGCACACAAAGTACTGAGGCAGTTTGACGTAATCAGTCCATCACAGGACCAAGATAACGAGTCAATTACAATTCCTGGTATGTGTCTTGCATATCAACTTGTCGGTACTCTATACCATATATATGATTTTGTCAATCATCCTGATCTAAATGTTCTATGAATACAGGTCCAGGATGAATCCCACCATCTTAATTTGGGTAATGTGTAGTCTGTTTCTCATTTTTTAGTTAGAGCAGATTTCATAAAAAACAATAGTTTGCATGACATGGAACAAGAGCTACACTGACCAAAGTTGTTTATTTAGGTACAATTACACAAGTTTTGGGTGGTTACAATTGTCTTACACAGTAACGTGTATAAATTACCAAAGATAACTCCCCAAAAAAGTAAAAATGACTTAATTCCATTGGAATCCTTAGCATGAAAGTACTCATATTGGTTATAATCATAACCATGAGGTGGAGGTGAAGGGGTAAGCCAGCGGAAGTCCTCGGTCAGATGACCAAAAGATCCAGCTGCGGGTCATCATATAACTAAGACCCGCGTCCTGACAAACAATATACCTACCAATTGGGATCCTTGGAGATATAACCACATTATGATATGACTATACTAGGTTGTCCCATTAACGTCAATAGAACACTTTCGTTAAGGTCAACAATCTAATTATATATTGTACCATTTTTGCATGACTAAAACATATCATTAGAACCACTGCACAAATATATAATACTGTCTATAAAATATTTGTAGAATCATGGATAAAGCTCATCACCGAGATCATGTTACTGTTATTGTGTAAGTAGTCATTAAGCATCAGGATTAGTTTGTCAGAAATGCACTGTAAACTAGTGGCTTTCTTTAGTGCCCAACAATTATTACATGTAAACTACACCATCTTTGTACAGCAAGAAAAAAAATAAATAAAAATTTGAATTTAAAGTTGAAACCATCTCCAATGAGGAAAGTAGGTTAGAGAGGAAAAGAAGTGCCCCTGGTGAGGCTCGAACTCACAACCCCGGCATGGCTTAGCAGCGTACACTGTCTATAAGTACCGTGCGCTAACCGATTGCGCCACAGGGGCCTAGCCTTCAGCTGCTCCTCCATAGCCAAAACCATGCATTCTACTATGACACGCGGACGCAAAACTCTGAAAATATTTCATAAATTATAATTGTTATGCATATTATTGGTTTCAACTTCAGGTAGTCTCAACTGAATTTAGTTTATTTTCAAAACTAGTTTTTAACCCCTTTTCATGTATGCTCTGCATAACTAGGAACTTTTCAGAATGTATGAAATGAATATAAATGTCTTAATGTCCGACATAATTAGAGTAAGTTTATTCAGGTATACACAAATACAGTTACATAGATTATCATACATAGCAGCATATGTGTAGAGAACCTAGTGAGAATCCTAAGTTCAAATGTACATGATTTACTATGTACCTTCAGGATTCGGTATACTCATGTTAGTAATACGGGTCACCAAACTGACGCTGAAGTGAGCCCTTGCCTCCAGGTATTCATGAGATAATTACACTCCCTAGTAGATCAGAAAGATGCCCACCTGAAGATTAGGCTTGTCCTCCCCTCTCCTTCCAGTGTTCCTCCATTAACTCCCCTACTTAGTAAATGTGCAACACTTGGGTATCTTTACTGAGGAATCGTTTTGTGGCTAACCTGAAACATTGGGCATGTTTCCTTACACCGGTTGTCCATGTTTACTCATCAGTAAAATGGGTACCTGGGTGTTAGTGGACTGGTGTGGGTCGCATCCTGGGACAAAATTGACCTAATTTGCCCGAAATGTTCTGCATAGCAAGCGGCTTTCTATATAGTAGTACGTCACTGATGACAGCTAGCCTTGTATACCTTGTACATGTACTTGTAGAAATAAACCTGTATTCCCTGGAACGCAGGAGGGAGAGATACATGATTATATACACCTGGAAAATCCTAGAGGGACTAGTACCGAACTTGCACACGAAAATCACTCACTACGAAAGCAAAAGACTTGGCAGACGATGCACCATCCCCCCAATGAAAAGCAGGGGTGTCACTAGCACGTTAAGAGACCATACAATAAGTGTCAGGGGCCCGAGACTGTTCAACTGCCTCCCAGCACACATAAGGGGGATTACCAACAGACCCCTGGCAGTCTTCAAGCTGGCACTGGACAAGCACCTAAAGTCAGTTCCTGATCAGCCGGGCTGTGGATCGTACGTTGGTTTGCGTGCAGCCAGCAGCAACAGCCTGGTTGATCAGGCTCTGATCCACCAGGAGGCCTGGTCACAGACCGGGCCGCGGGGGCGTTGACCCCCGGAACTCTCTCCAGGTAAACTCCAGGTAATTAAGTGTTGCACGTGTGTCTAATTTATCAACTTGTCGGTTCTCTGAACCATTTATCTACATTCCCCTACTTTCCTCATTATATCACTCCCGCTTCCTCCAGTGTGTCAATCGCCATTTACAATGGTACATTTTTC